TGCATCCTTGGCATTCTGCGCGGCGAGACGTTACATCTCTCCTCTGCTTCATCTTTCAGGCCAACTGCATCGATTCTCTCCAATCTGATAGTTACTTCACAAACCAGTTTAAACAATTCGTAGAGTATTGGCCAATTCCAGGTTTAGAGAGACCTTAAGAAGCAGTGAGAGACGAAGAGAGGCCAAACACGTCAACATGGCGCTAGTGATGACGGTGCTTCAGGCCTTGACGGTTGCCTTCATGATCGCCTTCATTTATGGTAAGTTAAGGTTAATTTTTTTTTTCTTGATAGTATGTGGGTAAGGGGTAGGGAGGAACGCGCACTCGCATGCTGCCTTTGAGAGGTGTATATACATCAGCATAGGAGTATCACATATTTAATACAATAATTTAAAGCATAAAAATCTGACCTTAGCTTCATCGTTCATTCATTTTGGACAGATAATAAACATTAAACAGCTTGTATACATTCGATTTGTATAATCGCCAAAGAACTAAACACAATTATCATGATGCATCTACTCCTCATGTTGCTAGTGTCTTACAAGTCTCTAATAATCACCTAAGACCTCCTTTTTTGAAGAAGGTTAGGTACATCCGAGAGATGTACGTGAAATTCAGTGCGTATGTGCTGAGAGTTTAATGTCAATAACAGACATTAAATTAATCTTGAGTGCTGAAGTGCAAATTGCATTCAGCTTTAATGACGCTCTTTTGGTCTGTACATTTCGTATCAAATACTTCGTCTTTCGTGGAGTTAGTCATTGCGCGTTGTGTTGGTCCAGTAGTTACCTAGATTCTTACAATGGTACAGTGATACAAATGCAGGTATATAGAACTTTCGCTGACGACGTAGCACACACAATGAAGGCTAGTGCCTTAACTAGTTGAACACTGACACTAACTAGTTGAACACTGACACTAACTAGTTGAACACTGACACTAACTAGTTGAACACTGACACTAACTAGTTGAACACTGACACTAACTAGTTGAACACTGACACTAACTTATTGAACACTGACACCAACTTATTGAACACTGACACCAACTTGTTGAACGCTGGCACTAGTTGAACACTGACATTAACTTCTTGAACACTGAGAAAAACAGAAGTTTTACGGAATATAATTCCTGTCTTGTTTCATCCACCATGGATGATTCCTGTCTTGTTTCATCCACCATGGATGATTCCTGTCTTGTTTCATCCACCATGGATGATTCCTGTCTTGTTTCATCCACCATGGATGATTCCTGTCTTGTTTCATCCACCATGGATGATTCCTGTCTTGTTTCATCCACCATGGATGATTCCTGTCTTGTTTCATCCACCATGGATGATTCCTGTCTTGTTTCATCCACCATGGATGATTCCTGTCTTGTTTCATCAACCATGGATGATTCCTGTCTTGTTTCATCCACCATGGATGATTCCTGTCTTGTTTCATCCACCATGGATGATTCCTGTCTTGTTTCATCAACCATGGATGATTCCTGTCTTGTTTCATCCACCATGGATGATTCCTGTCTTGTTTCATCCACCATGGATGATTCCTGTCTTGTTTCATCCACCATGGATGATTCCTGTCTTGTTTCATCCACCATGGATGATTCCTGTCTTGTTTCATCCACCATGGATGATTCCTGTCTTGTTTCATCCACCATGGATGATTCCTGTCTTGTTTCATCCACTACGGATGTTTCCTGTCAAGTTTTCTGCTCATCTCGGACACGATGTTTACCTTTCCTCTGAGCTCTGTCAGCTGAAAAAACCATGCCACCGGCGGGATTGAACCCGCGGTCAGAGAGTCTCAAAACTCCAGACCGTCGCGTGAGTCACTCTGTCAGCTGGTAAGGCAAGCTGCATGGGCGAAACATCGTCAATAAAGGATCACTTAATATTGCATTTGTCTTTCTTATTGTACTTCCTAGCTCGTCATCACTCACTTTCTTTACTGATTCCTCTTTTCCACTTAAGCTGATCTTCGCCTCTTCCTCTTTTCGTCGGGGCATCTTGGAATTCCTCTCATCCATACTTACTCCCTGCCTCGCCTGCTTAATTGGGTTTGAAGCTTATCGACTATACGAAGGAGTCATAAAGGCTACGTGTAACCTCTCCAGTCAAGAGAAGCAACTACAGTGAGAACACATCTGAGTGAACCAACACAACCAGGTTCACTCCTCCCAACTGGTGCAGTTTTCTGGAGAAGGAACCTCTAAACAAACTGTCCGTACCCCGAAGAAGAAGAAAAGATGAAAAGAAAAAGGAAGAAAAGATGAAGACAAGAAAAGAACAAAAAAAAAAAGGGTAGAAGGAAGAAAAAGAAGAGGCGAGTCTCTGCAGCGGGGATACCCAAACATTTACGACTGATTGTCTCCTTCCTGGAAATTTTCGCTCATGGACAGGTTTTGTTGCGAGGATCATCAGGAAAATTCTGTGCTGGAAGCTGACCTCGAGGAGGGAGGGAAGCGGATGGGCGGATGGACGGGAGGAGGGCGGAGCGAGGGGGTATCTCTTCGAAGGCTGACAATGAGATCTTCCCCCACATTCTTAGGTCTTGCGGGTTTAGAGCTTCCCCTTTGAATATTCGTAATGATAATCAGGAGGGAGAATATTTGTACAAATCTTGTTGATAAATTTTTCTCATGTTCCTGCAAGGTCAGTATCTTTATCAGTCTTGTCAGTATCTTTATCAGTCTTGTCAGCATCTTTATCAGTCTTGTCAGCATCTTTATCAGTCTTGTCAGCCTTTTCATCATCCTTGGCAGCATATTTATTGTACATTATCCTGGTCTCCTGTATATGTTAATAAGTGAACAATATCCTGGTCCCTGTGCATGTTGTCATGTAAATTATCCTGGCCAGCGAACCTGTTATTTTCTTTCGACATGCAAATGGTGCCGACAAGTATATTCAAGAATGATGCGGTGCGGTAGTTGAATTTGACTCAGTTTAGCTCGTTCATCAACGAGAGAAACGAGCGTTGCTCACCGGCTCAAGACTTTTCAAAGGGTCCTGGAAATGAAGACCTGCTCAGCATGGTGGGCATCAACGTCCCAGTAAAGATGGCTTGCAGACTGTACCTCCGCTACCTCCTCCTCTACACTATCGTTCCAACTGTCTCCTGTTGGTCCCTCTCCTTTTGTACGCTGCTTTTCCTCTCGTCCCTTCTTTATCTTTGGACACTATACTGCCAAACTGTGTGTACTCACCTATTTGTGGTTGCAGCGGTCGAGTTCTTGGCCCCACCTGTTCACATATTGCTACTAGATCCTCTTTCTCCCTGCTCCACGAGTTTTATCAAACCTAGTCATAAAACTATGTATGGTTCCTGCCTCCAATACGTATGTGTGTGTGTGTGTGTGTGTGTGTGTGTGTGTGTGTGTGTGTGTGTGTGTGTGTGTGCGTGCGTGTGTGTGCGTGTGTGTGTGTGTGCGTGTGTGTGTGTGCGCGTGTGTGTCCCCGAGCGCGTTTATGTTTGAATGTGTTTTTGAGTAATTTTGTACACATCATTTAAAGCAACATAATACACACGCTACATCAGCGACAAATATAACAGCCAGAGAGACAGGTAAGTACGCATAATTGAACACGGAAGACTACATTAAAACTGATAATATACTGACTGGAAAAACCTGTTCTCTGTTTGTGGTGTTTCTAGGTGGTCTATGCCTTTCCTCTCTGAGAGAGAGAGAGAGAGAGAGAGAGAGAGAGAGAGAGAGAGAGAGAGAGAGAGAGTCACTTTCAGTATTAATGGTAGCATCATTAGATCAAACCTATACAATACCGACAGGTTGATGTCTAACATAAGTGTTTAACATCTGGGTACTTGTATTTAGAAGAGTTTCACTCACGCTGGGTTTTATTAATTATATACACAAACATGAAAACGACGACTTATGTAACGGAACCAGTAGAAGTGAAGCAATGCATCCATAATAGATGTAGTTACAAATGAGCCAGGTAGCTTATGAGCCTATTTTCAGATTAGCAGAAACCAGATAACACCACCAATTTTTTTCCCCTTACGTTATTTTTGGCTATACTAGTGACTGAGATCATTCTTGGGTATTTTAATAACCAAAACCTATTTATGCCTACCTTTAGCTCAAAAAATAAAGAAAAAATGAACTTTATGTATATGACATTGGAATGGGAACCTAAAGATACAAAGACAGTGCAAAGATGTATGTTTTGCTTTGAGTCAGATGGCTTTCGCTTCAGTGGCTAATTCGCGCGTAACTGCCAAGAGTGGTTTGTGCTCATTACTTTGACCTAAGGGATCAAGGTTCAGTGGAGTTCCAGACGCGCCCCTGAATTTCCAAGACTATACTCTTTAACTGTAAGACAAGACCATCACCTGCAGCCAAAAGTCGAGATTCAGTGAACCATGAACCGCTGTTGCCAATATCCAGACAAGATCCAGGAAGTTGCTCCGACAGCTCTTCGGCTTGAGTCTCTGTTTGAACAAGTACAACATGGGCTCTTCACGGTCGGTGCTCTGGACAACCTTGACAACATTCTCTCACGTACCACTACCAATGATACCTTCCATGGAACAGGAATCATCCAGTATCAGTTCCCGATCAAGCCCAACGTGGTAGTCTGCCAGGATGGAATAACCATATCACTCTCAGGCTTCTTTACTGTATTAATTAATGTCAAGAATATCACTTTAGCTATCCCTAAACCTTCTGGTCCATTGAAGCCTGTGAATAGTCACTTAAAAAATGTTAGGTAAAAGGACACAAGTGCAACTAATTTGACAATGGCAACATTTCGCTCTCCAGGAGCTTTGTCTTGTCAAGCCGTAACGGCTTGACAAAGCTCCTGTTATTAGACAATACACACAATATACACACGATGTATTGTTTTATTAGACTATACCCTCACTACACATATCCACTAGAAAGAAACACGGAACGCAGAGACTTCAACGAAAGAGAAGAAGGTATCCAAATTCATGAACGAATACAAGTAGAGAGAGAGAGAGAGAGAGAGAGAGAGAGAGAGAGAGAGAGAGAATATAATAGTTGTAATAATAATACTGTAAAGTGTGATTGTGGCAAAAAGTAAACCATCTGGTTTTTGGAAACAGCTGTAAGCCAGATGTAGCTGGGTGAGCGACGTGTACTATACATTCTCAACTGTATTAATTATTTAGTGAAACACAATTGTATACACAAGAACAAGCAACTTCTTTCTCTCATTTTTCGACATTTCAAAGGGGGTCTGAGGCTTTTTCTTGAAATACTGGAAATTTTAGTAGCAATATTCTTATAAATAACTACAGTACACCAAAGGAATACTCTGCTAGAGGATTGCACATTGTGTTATCCTCACCTAAAGGCCGAGTTGGTGTTGTCCCACACGTCGAGGACAAATTAGTTGAGGAAGTCTCCTAAGTGAATCATTGTTTATCCGACAATTGCTCTTCCTCGAATATCGGCAACAACCTAGCGGTCATAAGATGAAATTACAGTATTTATCCTACCTAGAGGAATAGATTTGGCGTGTCCATAGCTGTGTATCTCAATGGTAGAGGGTCAGGATCATAACCGAAAGGGCAGGGGATTGATTAATTAATAAAATGGAAGTGCAACACCTATCATTACTAGGAGATATTTCGGCTACGCATCAAGCTTTTTTTATTCAGTCTAATACAAAGGCATGAGGACGGGGACTTTTCTATTTTTACTGTAGCCAGTGGAAGAAGTAGTAAGGTGCAGCTTCTGAATACATCGTTACAGGTAGGCGAGACTTGGATGTAGATCATACTCATAACGTTGGCCAGATAATAGCAATGGAGTAATAAACAATATTTTCTGTACCAAAATTCTGCTGCTGTATCCGACAAGTGTCATTAAATCAAAGGCACACCATACCAATAAGTTGATGAATAAGACACATGTGCATTATCAGGGTTTCTTATAAGAGGAGAGGTTTCGTATATGCAGAAGGCTTTGTCAATCTAATATAGAGGCATTAGGATGGTGACTCGCATACCAGAGCCATTGGAAAAAAATGGTGAGGTTTACCATAACCCTTTGATATAGCAGATATTTTTCTGCAGCTGCATTATCATCTGGTCATGAAGACAACGTCACCATCCACCAGTGACGATGCCTTCAATTGAGTTAGATTGCTTAGGAGAGGCATTCTCGAAAGTTTTTTTCTGTTGCCCTGAATCTTCCTCAACAATGACTTTACATTTTTCAAGCAGCTCACTGAAATAGAGATGATTTGCTATTTCATACCTTAACTTCGTAAATACCTTGGAAAATTTTCTTTGAATGCTCTTAATATGTAACGTACATTGTTGATGATGCACGTTTGGATAAACTGCTACAAACATACAAAAAATTGAACTTCCGAAAGTACATCCTCAGTTGAATTTGTTACATGTGTAATTTTGTGATCTTGTTTGAGCAATATTATTTCTTTCAGTTTTTTTTTTTTTTGAGCTCCACATAAAATATATTCATATGTACAGAGAAAAATATTTATAGTATGAACTAATCTGTGAATTCATGACAAATAATTAAATTGCATGTATGCCTAAGCAAAACATTGTCATGGTCCTTTATGTGAAAAATAACGAAATCTCTTGGAAATTCACTATTTTACCGGTGGTTGTTTTCCATATTGGATATCACCTGTTTACTGTGATCTTATTACATGTATGATTATATATATATAATGTGTCGAATAGAAACTTATATAGCTTATATACAATATCTTGCCATATAGCAATAAATTTTGTATGCAATATTTATAATATTCTAACTAGAAATAAATATATTTCATGTTTATGTTTATATTAAATATTGTAATACATAATCTAAAATCATTAGTTGGTAGGCTAAATAAATTGATTCTTGATATATAGGTTAGGTAAATTCAAAGTTTTTTGGCTGCAAAATTAAGAATTTATTAACTTAATGAAAAAGTATACTTTAAAGTATACAAAAATATTATAAGGCTTAATTTTAAATGAGTCTGCTAATGACAGTTTGACTTTCGGCAGAATGATATTTATTATAGATATGTGTATAAATATTATAAAAAATATATATATAATATTTATAAAAAATATATTATATAATATTAATAAAATAAATTAAGTGTGTGTGTGGTGTCGAATATAAAAGGTCAATTAGCAAGAAGCATTTAAAAGAGTTTTAATTTGATTTATACATTTAAAGAATATTTTTCATAAGTTATGTAAAATTTATTTTCATAGAAATTGAAACTTATCTAATATATTATAGGAAAAAATTATTTTAGCTAGTTAATAATATATTTTAGATTTGTTACAATATTAAAAGTATAGAAAAGGTGAAGATATTTTTTTCGTTAGGTTCAGAATGATTTTGGCGAAATTATTGCATACACAAATTTTCGCTTGTCCTATATGGCAAGATGAGCGTTGCTATTTAAGCCAAGATCGCAAGTTCTGCCTATTCGGCACGACATTATATATATATATATATATATATATATATATATATATATATATATATATATATATATATATATATATATATATATATATATATATAAAATTTCAGTATTATTATTATAATCAAGGGGGAAGCGCTAAACCCGGAGGATTATACAGCGCCTGGGGGGGGGATGTGGAAGGCATTCAGGCTTAATTCGGGGAACTGGAGCACAGATCCAATTCCCTAAATCAAGAGCCCCTCACCAAAATCAAGGAACCTTCCTTGAGGGGAAAATTTCAGTAGATTAGTAAAAAACGTTATAATGTATGAATAGTTTTACAGAAAATGTAAGAAAATACATGTAAAGTTACCTTTGATAAAGTTTTTGTAGTTTATCAATTCTTCAGTAACCCAGCCAGACAAAAACCTGTTATGTGCATTCAAGTCATACTTGCATTCATGTTGTACATGAGTAGTATACAATATCGACAAGATGAAAATTAGACACATATACAACATCTAGGTATCTTTATTGTAGACGTTTCGCCATCCAGTGGCTTTATCAATACAAATTCAAGAACATAATTGGAAGACAGAAGAATTATATACGAAAGATGAGGTAATCAGTCCCTTGGCCTTAGAGTTAATGTCTTCTTCTGCTACCCGTCCCTTACCACCTGACGCCAGTACATAAGCGCCAGCCTCCTTGCCTGTGCTCCAGATTCTTCACGACTACGGTGTTCTTCACACCAACTCCAAGGCTGAGAGACTGATTACCTCAACTTTTGTATATAGTTCTGCTGTCTTCCAATTTTAACTTATATGCCCTAATCATAAGGGACTATCAGAGTCGAGTTCCAAAAAGCAGAATGAATATGATACGCAATATTCTGTTCACGAACCAACATTGTCCATCTGTGGCTGTTGACCGAAAAATCGTAAAAGCATCCATCAGGGTCTTCATATTAGTGTGTTTAAGGGATGCTTCAATAAGACAGTGTCTGTGAAGGCTAGAAAGCTAGACAGTTTTGGCAGAGGACCAGTTAATAGGATGACTGTGATCTCTAACCTGACAGAAAGAACATTATTAATGTCGGCAAGTCTAACACTCCTTTGTTTTTTTAAGTCTGTCAGAAAGGGAGCATCTAGTTTCTCCAAAGTACTGAAGAATACAAGAGGAACAGGAAATGAAGTAGATTCCGGAGGTATCAATGACAGGGCATTAGTTTGGCGAAAAGTAAGTTTAAGATCTAAGGAATGGAGAGGAGAGCATTATTAAGATCTAGGAGCCTGAAAATATAGGGAAGGGAACGAGCAAGAGATTTCTCAGGAGTAGAGAGTTTGGGAGAGGAAAAAAGTTCACTTTACACGTGAGTAGGCAGAGATCGAAAAGGTAGCCAGGACCAGAGAGCGAACTGCGAAGAGTGGAAATTTCCGAATGAAGAAACTGTGGGTCACAGATGCGAAGGGCACGGAGAAAGAGGGAAATAAGAACACTTTTTTTAATAGAGGAATCATGGTAAGAAAAGTAGTGAATGTGCATGCCACTTTGCATTAGCTTGCGATAAACGGAAAAAAGAAAAACCTGTCCAGGTTTGAACATGATGGAAGGAACATCAAGGAAAAACTGGAAGAGAGTTGAGTCATGTGACCAAAGAACAAAGATATCATCTACACAGCGAAGCTAGAGGGAAGGGTGCACCCCAATAGTAAGAAGTAGAACAGTTTCTGAGTATTCCATATAAAGGTTAGCAAGAACAGGGAATAGAGAAGAGCCAAGAGCAACACCAAAAGTTAGGGATTAAATTTTACCCTGAAAGGAAAAAATAGATGGAATCCACACAAAGGTGAATAAGATCAAGAAAGACATCATTGTGTATAAGGAAATGAAGAAGCCCTTCATTGGCCTTCATCATCAAGAGGGACTCAATATCGAGATTTAGCATATTACAGGTTGGATGTGGCCGAGAACAAACTGGTCTAGAGAACAGTATAGCAACCTCTAACTCTGATTTTTCAGGCCAAAATAACAACACAGTCTCCTCTGAATGTCTGGCTTGCATATGTGAGGCGTCAACAAACTGCAACGCCTCGACGACCTGCTTCACTCCTGAACAGAGCGGCGGCTTCTACTGCGGTGCCTTCCACATCTCCCGAGAGTACTGGTTGGACGCTGACAGGCCCGTTATTAAAGGCGACAAGCCTGGGTCCAAAGATTGTAAGTTTCTTATAACTTTTGCTTCACATTTCATTACGGTTTCCATCGTATTTTGTACCTGATGCACTACCTCACAATTTACACATTTAGATTCATATAAATACCAAATTAAAATCATGAGATTACCTAACATGGGTAAATAGTTTTAGAATATTTTGATTAAGATTTTAAATATCTTTCAAGCTCACAGCGTTTCAAGAAATAAACAAAATTCAGTGATGTAGCGTGCGTTCTGTTCACCAGGAAACAACACAGTCTCTCCTGATTCTGGAAACTCTGATGACCCATTCAGTGGCTAAACATCCATTTGCCTACTCTGTTTTCACCCCGTTTAAATAACAAAGGATAGCTGCCTAGTAGTTATCCTGTAAAATCCTCATGAGTATCCATAGTGTCACAGTATACAGAGGTCGTGTGCAGATCCAGTGTTCCCATATTTTCCATTACTTCCTCTTTTATAAAGTTTATCCTCTCTGAATTTACTTAATTAAATTGACACAGTTTTGCAATAACAGACAAAGCTTTCATAGCAGCAGGTCCAGCACTGTACCACTGAGCTACAAGGATTACAATAGGAAAGCTTTCACAGACTGCACCATGTCTGAGGCTGTGGGAAAGAATAGTTGAGTCACAGATAGTGGCCACTGACGCAGACATGACACAGCGGTGATGTCTGTGAAATTTCCTATTTTAAGCCTCGTAACCAAATGGTACAGCGCTGTACCTCTTACCAGTCAGGACTACGGTTCGGTCACCATTCATCCTTCTGTTTATTCATTGACTGCCAACGATCACTTGTCTTAAGTTTATATAATATATATATATATATATTATATATATATATATATATATATATATATATATATATATATATATATATACAAACCATAGATAAATCGATTGAACGACCGTTGATAAATGAATGGTGACTAGAATCACAGTCCTGTGTCTAGTAGGCCTCAGTTGTACCATCCATTCTGAGGAATTTGTAAAATTAAAGAACTTATAAAATGGAAACAGTAGATGTGGCAATCAGTTCCTCTTTGATGTCTTGTTTTGATACTATTATGCCTTATTTTACTGTTACATTATATAATATATATATATATTATATATATATATATATATATATATTATATATATATATATATATATATATTATATATATTATATTATATATTATATGTTATGTAATATAAATTATTGTGTGTTTAGAGAAATTCCTTGAATATTTTTTAACAAAAGTGTATTAAACAATGTCTAAATTTTTCAGCTTTCAATAACTGCATGCTGGACCTTGTATGTTCCGCCCAAACTGTTGAACGGTACATGAAGAAGTTTACCAGTGTAAGTAGCGGATAAAACCCCATAATGTATATTAACTAGGCATTGATGCAAGAGGTTCACCTGGTATGGTAATATCAACAGTGTATGGAAAGAAACACGAAGGCACACATTACGATACGAAATGAAGAACTATTTCTCCACGTCTGGCTTCTTCAGTCCTAGGATTGGCTTAAAGGTTTCCTTAACAAATGTATGTTAATCTGTGCATTCGTGTCTCTCTCCAAGGAAGACTTGTGGTACTTATAAATGAGACTTTATATATTTATCCTTTAGAATGACTTTCTGTTGTCAGTGAGTATTAACCGAATTTATCAAGGGGTCTTTTCCTAAATGAGCAATCTTTTCCTGTTTAGAGAAAAGTATCTGGTGGGTTTAATAAAAAAAAATCAGAAATGAAAATATAGATCAGTCTTCGTTCTAGATAAGTAAATACATTCACATAAATATATATGTAAAATAATTTTATTATTTTGCATCAAAGTTATCTTAGCATCTGACGTGCAAAATTTTACATTGTATAAGAACATAACATAAGAAAGAAGGAACACTGCAACAGGCCTGCTGACCCAAGCGGAGCAGGTCCATGTTTTCCCCCCGGATTAGACCAATGACCCACCCCCCGGGTAATCCCAATGACCCACCCAGCCTGGTCATCCCCACTCAAGGATGGAGCACTGTACCAGACCCAGTAGCAAAAGCTAGTCAGGTCCAACTCACACCCACCCACACACACACTCATGTATTTATCTAACCTATTTTTAAAACTACACAACGTTTTAGCCTCAATAACTGTATTCGGGAGTTTGTTCCACTCATCCACAACTCTATTACCAAACCAGTGCTTTCCTATATCCTTCCTGAATCTGAATTTTTCCAACTTGAAACCATTGCTACTAGTCCTGTCATGGCTGGAAATTTTCAGCACACTATTTACATCCCCTTTATTTATTCCTGTTTTCCATTTATACACCTCAATCATATCCCCCCTAATTCATAGTATATAACATAATATTACTCTATCTAAAATGAACTTAAAATTTAAGACTAATAATTGATGAAAATAGCTTCCAACGATGACCGAAGGCTGAGCTTGTTTGGTTAAATGATTCTTAACGAGTAAACTAAGCAGACTAGTTAATGTAAACATTAACATTCCCGTCTCTTCTACCTACCCTTCAAGAGTATGTACCTTGATGTCGATGAATGGCTCTTGATCCTAAAATCTACAGTTACCTTCCTTTCCTCAGATCGAACATGATTCCCGTCCATTCTCTTGACGCTGTTTGGCCTGTACCGTTATAGCGTCCCTACCTCATGAATACAATAACAATAAGTTTATTTACCCACTGATATTTTTCGTTGTACTTCATCTTCATCTTTAAACACCACTAAATAAACATCAAACTTATCCGTCGTTTGTCTAAAACATCCGAAAGTCAACATCTCAACTTTTACGCACAAATATACTCATATAATACATACTCATAGCCCTTTATCATACCTTGTATACTTATTTATCCTTTCCTTTTAAATCGCGTATTTCTAAGACACGTTTAAAGGGTCTCTATCGTCCAACTTTCCTACATCAGTGGTGACCAAAACATCCATTGCCATCTATCAATATATCGCAGGGCAATTCCTAGATCATGTGATGATTAGCATGCCTAAAATGTTTTTATGTAAAAAAATAATAGCTTTGCATGAGATATATACTACCAATTTCTTTCATTATTTTCTAGCTCTGCTCATAGTGACAAATCTCAGGCTTCTAACTGCATTCATTATTTACTTCTTTTCTAATATTATTCCTAATGCTAAACACAGAAGTGCTAAAGTTATTTTCTGTCTTCTTCTTCAGGGTACTTTGTCTGGTTAACTTGTCAACTTGATCATTAATGAGTAATTTAGTGTATAATGGATTCCATAAAAACTGTACATTAATCTGTTTTTTTGAGTATCTACTATAGTTGGCTTCTCCAGTGAACATGTTAGTAATTATTGAGTCAAGTACCCTTAATGATAGAATCAGTAATAATCAAAAGTTAACTTTAGTGCCACTAGGATGACAACAACTAATTCAATTACCCAGTTACTAATTCTTATGCTTAACTCAGCATGGTTATTATGGTTGTTATCTGTGGAGGTGGCAAGAGGAGCAGATGTATCCCTGCTAGTAGACTCCTGTTTAGATTCATCACTGCATAAAATCTGATATATTTTATTACTAACAGTTAAGCGATCATTTTTTCTTGTGCAGTTGCCTTTGGAAGGGATTTATGGAGAAAAAATTACTTATGATGAGCGTCTTGGGAGAGACTTTACATACACCTTCCATAGAGGGGTGAGATACCCTTTTATCTACAGTGATACAGTTAGTGCAGGTTATAAAACTTAATATAATTGCATGTTTTTAAAACCCATTTAGATTTGTTTTTATTTCTAGACACTTAGTAAGATTTGTAGTGACAGTGTCTGGTTCATTTCCTAATACTTCTAATACCAAGTACGGTTCTAATCTCAGTACTTTTATCACTGATACTAGGAATTCCAAATTCTTTCCTCATAAGGAAATTGGTAGTTTCAGAATGGCTAAGAATAATTCTAAGGGCTTCGTCTTGCATTAGTTCCAATGGCCAGAGACAATTTTCCTTAATTAATAAAACATGGAAGCAACATAATCATTTAAATATTTAATGTACGTTATGTACATCATTCTCCCCGTTGTTACATAAGCACCATAATTGGGGTTGTATCCAGCAATAGCTCTGAGAGCATTTAGCCAGTCTTAGCATTTTCTTATTAAGGTATGGGTGAATAAGGACCCGACAAAAAAGAGTACCAGATTTTTATACAAAAATTCTTTTAACTAAAATCAAAACGTCACCGACTACAGACTCATTAATAAAAGTGAACTGCAGCATAAGGACCAGCTGGAAAAATTGCTATTGAAGATATATATTAAAATTATCCTCGCCTGAAACGTTAGTATCATATTTACTAAAATTTCACAGCACAGTGGAACAACGAAATCTGTCTTTAGTGATTTTACGCTAAGCTCACCATGTACACATCGCATTTTATTTATCAAAACTTATTACAAGTTAATTTAGAATACACCCGATAAAGCCAGTGAGGGATGTGATGTGCTGATGGTGCTGATTGGTAGTTATAGTGTATCTAAATATTAATAACCAAACTCACAGTAAATTTGTTTTTCACCATAAAACTTAATTTGATATTATAAGCTAATTCGCACGACAAATGGTAGATCACTGTGTTAAGTTTAGAACCGATCGACTACACGAGAATAATTAAGATTTCGGTTTTACATAAACACATGAAATCAAGACTTCATAACTCTCATTGTATATATATACAAGTTCACCTCTCGGTGAAGATGCTCCTTGACATTCCATTTATGAATTTTCGGTATGTTTAAACTTGCTTAAATTAAAAATAAAAAAGAGATTATATAATTTAATTTATAAAAGTTACATCTATAAACCACATTAAGTTAGGTAAGTTTGTCAAGAAGCAGGACAAGTGTTTCCCGACGATGGTCTTAGTCATATGATAACCCACAGCTGGAGCTTCTGATCATCTGACCGAGACCTTTCGCTGGCTTACCGGTCCACCCCTTTAAAAGATATTGTTATTGAGAATATAAACCATATATGAAAGATATAAATATTAAATAATGTGCATTTTAGAGGAAAGTAATTTTAATTAGGGTTTGAAAAGTAGTTTTCTAAAACTAATATAAGTAATTTGACTCATTTAAATAATATAAATTATAGATCACTAAATAATACTTCACATAAAAACTTGTTTCCTCTCTAGACTCTGTTCTGTTAGTTGAAATATGTCATCGTGTATTTAAACCCTTCAGAGGGCAAGGCAGACCAAATGCGGATTTGAAAGTGATTTCGTATGAGTGGATAGCGCCGCTCGATGTAAGGTCAGTGAGGCCATATAAATGGAGTTGTAAAGGTTAGGCGTCGAGCAATTGCAGGTATGCGAAGTCCGAGTAAACTCGGACCTACCCGGTAAGGGTATAAGAATTGAAAATGTTGCAAGGGTGCAATAGTTAAAAAAAATAACTATTTTTTAAATTTATTATACAAGTAGACAATATAAAAAACATAAATGGAACTTGTTTCAAAACATTTTGTAAGCATTAAAAAGATAGAAATAGGAACTACTTATCAACAATGACACATTGCAATGGGATACAGCTTACAAATGAAATATTCCTGAGTTTCCTGAGAAAGAATAATCATGTTACATCACTAATTTCGGCAATGAAACTTTATGAAACAATTTATATCCTTCTTGATGCATAAATTTACTTTGCATGTGCCACAGGAAAATGAGGATGTGACATGATTATTCTTTTTGCTGCAATACTTGCATGTAAGGAGCTTACCTAGCACTGGCCAGTGACCTAGCTGTTTATCCAACCTCACACTGTCATCTGGCCTTGCTGCATGTTGGAATCGAAATCCAGATGGCAATTCCAAGTTTGAGAATTCATCACTACTCTCAACCAAAGAAGTACTGGGTGAACTTCTTAGAGTTAGTCTCATGCTGGTGCGGTTGTACTTTTGTCCTTTGGATCTTGCAGTGACAGAGATATCAAGCCTGAATACCTTCAGTGGCTTGCATTGTACATTTAGTGACCAACAATCACGGCAGTAAAGCAGCCACGCATTCACAACAGCAAGATCCAGAACATAAGCAAACAGGCACATGTACCAACGTTTTGATTTCATTGGTGTTTTGTAAAGATGCACCAACATGTTACTTTTGTCAATGCCTCCCATGTGTGCATTGTAGTTCTTGATGATTCCAGGGCACTCGAAGTGGTCTTTCGTCTTTGATACCTTGTCATATCTTTCAATAAGACTCAGAGGATAAACCCCCACATCATTTGTCACTAGAGTCACAACTTTGTTGTCCTTCCATCTTACAAGAAGGATATAATTATTGCTTTTGAATTCAAAAGTGCCACTGGCAACATTACTCTTTTCCACTTGTTTGACAGGCATTAGTTGGGGCTTACCACATCTATTATCACGTACTGTTCCAGTGTACCTGCAGTTATACTTATCTCTCAGTACCTTGACCAAAGGTAGACTTAAGAAGAAATTATCAGTATAGATTGCTGATGTATAGATGTATAGATTGCATGAGTATATCATGTATGATTCCATCTTCACTTGCACGACAGAACAGTTTGAAACCCCACTTGTCTGGTTTGTTTTTTATGTATTGCCTTAGGTTTCCAGCTGTTTTACCCTTGAAAGCAACCATAACTTCATCAACAGACTGCTTGGGTGTAGCTGGAACTTTCAAGCAAGCTTTAGTTAGGGCAGCGTAAAGAGGCCTTATTTTGTGGAATCTGTCATTACCCTTCTTTTTTGTGTTATCATTGAAATGAATCGTACGCCTAAGTAACCCAAACCTCTTTGATCCCATGACTTCTGCAACTTGAGGTACCTTAGTTGCACTTCCCCAATAGTCCTCAAGGATGGCTGTACAGTGTAACCCATATACAATAGAATACCTATGAACCTAGTAATTTCCTCAGAATCTGTTTGAAAAGTAGTATGTATGTTTTTTTGCCTGGCATACAAATTAGTTTGAAATGTAATGTTGTCTATCATGTCTTGAGTAAAAGTCTGTAAAATAATCATATGCAGACCTAATGCCAATAGGCTTTACATGTTCGTATGCAGGCAAAGGGTCATTCTGTATGTCCTCATTCTTCCATTGGGTGTCATCTTGAGAAGCAAGATCATCATGAAGCTGTTCTTTATTAGGGTACTCCTCCACTATAATACGTTTCTTCTTCTTGTTCAATTTCTGCTTTTTGGCTGGTGGCTCAGCTTCCTCCTCCTCATCTGTTGACACCTCTGCATTTGGTGACAAGTATTCATCATCAGTGTCCACCAATTCCGGTCACCTGGCTCTTGATCTGAGTCACTTTCGTCCCAAACACAGACAAACTTCGACTTATCCTTGGAGGATTCACCATAGAACAATTTCTGATTGATCTGCAAGGACAATAAAAACGTTCCGTACATACCCAGACCACTACTGAATTCATATATACACTACAGAATTTTATGGAAATATTTATATACCGAAACTCGAAAATACCCCCTAAACGGCAGGTCTGAGTGTACTCGACCTGTTTTATTGCACTTTTTTCATTTGCATGGTGCACTCTTATTATGCTTCACAACAACATAATATATATATATATATTATATATATATAATATATATATATATATATATATTATATATATATATATATATATATGTATAGCCGAATATGTAAAACTCTTCAATTAGCAAGAACTCATTTAAAAATTCAGTCTTTCAAAATTTTCTTAAGGTTTAAAGAATAATTTGTATAATAATGATTGAGTAAAAATTTATAATTTGGCGACCAAAGGACTTAGAAAACTTACCTAACCATTATAAGCAGAACAATTTATTTTGCCAGCACCATACTGAATATCATGTAGATTTGTTGTACAATAATTAATACTAAACAAACACAGTGAGAAATATAAAGTTTTCGTAGGTCAGACTGAATGTGGCAAATTATTGCATACACAATTTTCACTTGTCTATATGGCAAGATGATGTTGCTATTTAAGCCAAAATCGCAAGTTCTGCCTATTCGGCACCAAATTATATATATATATATATATATATATATATATATAATATATATATATAATATATATATATATATATATATATATATATATCTCATAATATAACTAAACTATTCATTTATGCACTAGATACACAAATCAGTACTTACCAACATTGTAGAGGGTGAAATGAAAGAGTATATGAGGAGCACTCGACGAAAAAAACGTGTCTGGGCGACGCCAAGCTAGAAGTGTTTACATTTTGCTCTCTCAACCAATGGGAAGCAATGAGATGCCATCACCACTTAGCTGGAGTGACTCAGGGAAGGCTTCTGATTGGTCAGAAATAGAGAATGGGAACCCAGATGCGCAGGAGGAGTAGGAGGACATATGCAAAAACCACGCATTCAGGTCCGAGTACACTCGGACCTGCCCGGTAAAGGGTTCAGTATTACAGCAGCATTTAGAGTTGAGAAATTTACCACATTTTACAACAGTTTCATAAGTTAAAATATATTTACCTATTATTATTATTATTATTATTATTATTAGATTAAAAAACAACAATAATAACAGCTTACTAGGCTAATTTTTTTCCACAGGCTTAACACAACATGAGATGTACTTCTCTCATCGTTTATATGCTGAAAATTTCCTTTAATTCCTATTCTACGAATAAAAGTATTTTTGTCTTGTAAAAGTTTTCAGGTTACGCTCAGTTTTAGTGACCCTCGTGTACCCAGGTATTCTCTAAACTCCATTGACCATCTACTTTTCTTATTCCCGTAGGGACGGCGAAGGTTAAATGGAGACTGCAATGGTAATGGAAAAATCGACTGTGATGACTTCTTCCGCATTCACAGACTAGGTGCTTTTAATTGCGAGAATCCCTCCATCCTTAATTCTACCGCCTACAAGAAGTTTACTACTTGTTGGGACGTGGTTCAAGCAGCCTCTCTGGCGAAGAGCATCTCTTAGTTTATTCTCTATATCTATTTATATCTTAATATGGTCACATACGTTAAGATTCAAACGAGGCACTAAGAACTAGGACCTAGATAAAACAGTAAAAAATAAACTTATTGAATAGCTAGATTCCGCAATAACATATTAACCTATTTATTATTTTTAAGTGGAGAATTTAGTCCATTATACAGAAAGATCAAAAAGGCATAATACCGTGACCGGAACAATGTACGAATAACGAATAACCCGCACATAGGAGAGAGGAGCTTGCCACGACGTATGACTTTGTAAAAGTTCAAGTTGGACTGAAACGTCGTGGTAAGCTCCTCTCTCCGTTATACTATAGAAAGTGACCTAAGTATTACAACACAGCTATAAGAGTATAAGTACAAAATTTATGATGTAACATGAATGGTATTAAGGGGTGGAGCTGTAACTTGAAGAAGACCACCGTCACATGACCGAAAATTTCATCGAATGGTCCATTATACCCACGACAGGGAAAACGTCTCCAGTTTCTCTTTCCTTGACGCTGGTGAGGGGCTTTTGATCTAGGGGACTGGATCTGTGTTCCAGTTTCCTGAATTAAGCCTGAATGCCTTCCACATCATCCCCACCCTGGCGCTCTATAATCCTACGGGTTTAGCGCTTTCCCCTTGATTATAATAATAATAATTATCATCCAGTTCCTCTTAAATAAAATACCACTCGGATCAAGATTAAAAAATAAACCTTGGGATTTGAAGTGAATTATATTTTTAAAACAATATTACTTGGAGATTGTGTCATGCTTAAGATTGTTCCTGCTATATACGTATAAACTTAAACTAATAATACAATGCCGTTTTAACAATTTTGCTGAATTTGTGTTAATGAATATAAGTGCTATTTGACAGGTATTCATGAAGGCTATATTTGTATCGCTACTTAATAAAGTGTTTTATTATTATTTGTTTTCCAACACGCTGGCTGTCTCCTCAAGAGGCAGGTGACTCCCAAAAAAAGAAACACCTTTACCATCATTCACACATATCACTGTCTTTGCAGAGGCGCGCAGATGCGACAGTTCAGATATCACTTCAAACAGCTAATATCAAAAAACTACTCTTTTCAAGTGGAGGCATTGTACTTCCCACCTCCAGGACTCAAGTCACGCTAACCGGATTCCCTGAATCCCTTCACAAAATATTACCCTGCTCACATTTCAACAGCTCGTCAAGTCCACTCCTATCTAACATACTCACACACGCTTGCTGGAAGTCCAAGCTCCTCGCCCACAAAACCTCCTTTACCCCCTCCGTCCAACCCCTATCCCTGACCCCTATCCCTACCTTCCTTCTACAGATTTAGGCGCTCTCCACGTTATTCATTTTTGTTCCATCCTCTCTATATGACTAAACTACCTCTTCAGCCCTCTGGATAATACTTTTAGTGACTCCACACCTCCTCCTAATTTCCAAAACTACGTATTCCCTGCATAACATTTACACCACTCATTGCCCATAGACACATCTCCACTGCCTACAGCCTCCTCACTGCAACATTCACAGCACATACTTCTCACCCATATAAGAGTGTTGGTACCGCTGTACACTCATACATTTCCTTCTTTCCCTCCACGGATAATGTTCTTTGTCTCCTCAGATACCTCAGCACATCATCCACCTTTTTTCCTTCATTAGTTTTATGGTTTACCTCATTCTTCATAAACCCATCCGCCGACAAGTCTCCTCCCAAATATCTGAACATATTCAACACCTTACTCATATCTATGTTCACTTTCAACTTTCTTCGTTTACACACTCTCCCAAACTCGTCCACTAACCTTTGCAACTTTTCTTCAGAATTTCCCAAAAACACAGCATCATCAGCAGAAAGTAAATGTGTCAACTCCCATTTTGTATTTGATTCCCCATAATTTAATCCCACTCATCTCCCCAGCGCCCTGGAGTTTACCTGGAGAGAGTTTCGGGGGTCAAGGCCCCCGCGGCCCGGTCTGAGACCAGACCTCATGGTGGATTAGGGTCTGATCAACCAGGCTGTTACTGCTGGCCGCACACAATCTGACGTACGAACCACAGCCCGGTTGGTCAGGTACTGACTTTAGGTGCCTGTCCAGTGCCTTCTTGAAGACAGCCAGGGGTCTATTGGTAATCCCCCTTATGTATACTAGCAGACAGTTGAAGAGTCTTGGGCCCCGGACATTTATTGTGTTGTCTCTCAGAGTACTCATGGCACCCCTGTTTTTCATCGGGGGAATGTTGCATCTCCTGCCGAGTCTTTTGATTTCATAGGGAGTGATTTTCGTGTGCAGGTTTGGTACTAATCCCTCCAGAACCTTCCGAGTGTATATTATCATGTACCTCTCTCGCCTGCGTTCGAGAGAATACAGATCACGGACCTTCAACCGTTCCCAGTAGTTTAGGTGCCTTATCGCACTTATGTGTGCCGCGAAAGTTCTTTGTACACTCTCCAGGTCCGCACTGTCGCCAGCCTTGAAGGGGGCCGTTAGTGTACAGCAGTATTCCAACCTAGAGAGCACAAGCGATTTGAAGAGAATCATCATGGGCTTGGCGTCCCCAGTTTTGAAGGTTCTCATTATCCATCCTATCATTTTCCTAGCAGATGGGGTAAATACATTGTTGTGGTCTTTAAGGCGAGATCCTCTGACATTATCACTCTCAGGTCCTGCACAGTACTTTTCTGCTCTATTGTATGGTTAGAATTTGTCGTATATCCTGACACATTTTTAATTTCTGCAACATCATGGAATCTTCGTTCAGAGGACATCTACAAGACCTTCTTCACGGCTACTACAACTAACCCATCCCTTTGCGTAGACCTACTTCCACTGGGAAATTCCCGCCTACCAGTGACTATGCCCTCGTCTGCTACACGTCCCTATCCACTGACGCCTATATAACCGCCAGTCTTCTTGCCTTTGCTTCAAATTCTCCACCACCACGATGTTGTGAACACTAACTTCCAAGGCTGAGGGACTTACCTCATCTTTTGTATATAGTTCTACTGTCTTCTAATTATGTCCTAGAATCTGTTTGATAAAGCCACTGGATGGCGAAACGTCTACAATAAAGATATCTAGAAGTTGCACACGTGTCTTAACTTTCATTACTGAGTAGTTGAAATTTCTCCTCGTTGAACTTCATATTGTTTGCAGTGGTCCATTCGAAGATTTGGTTGATGTCCGCTTGGAGTCTCACGGTGTCTTCGATGGAGGTCACTGCCATGGTAATCAGGGTGTCATCCGCAAAGGAAGACACGGAGCTGTGGCTTACATCTCTGTCTTTGTCAGCAATGAGGATAAGGAATAGAATGGGAGCGATTACTGTGGCTTGTGGAACAGAGCTTTTTACCGTGGCTGCCTGGGACTTTACTCTGTTTACTATTACTCTTTGTGTTCTGTTTGTCAAGAAGTTGAAGATCCATCTACCCACTTTTCCCGTCATTCCTTTATCACGCATTTTGTGTGCTATTACACCATGGTCACACTTGTTGAAAGCTTTTGCAAACTCTGTGTATACTACATCTGTATTTTGTTCATCCTCTACAGCATCCAGGACCTTGTCATAGTGGTCCAGTAGCTGGGACAGGCAGGAGCGACCTGCTCTAAACCCGTGTTGCCCTGGGTTGTGTAATTGATGGGTATTTTGGTGGTTGGCTATCTTACTTCTTAGAACCCTCTCCAAGATTTTTATGATATGGGATGTTAGTGCTATCGGTCTGTAGTTCTTTGCAATTGCTTTACTGCCACCTTTGTGGAGTGGGGCTATGTCTGTTGTTTTTAGTGTGTGTGGGATGACCCTTGTGTCCACGCTCCCTCTCCATAAAATGCTGAAGGCACGCGATAGGGACTTCTTGCAATTCTTGATGAACACGGAGTTCTACGAGTCTGGGCCTGGGGCAGAGTGCATGGGCATGTCACTAATTGCCTCTTCAAAGTCTTGTGGAGTTAGAATAATATCCGAGATTTTTGAGATGACCAAATTTTGGGTTTGAATTGTCGACCCTTAGTCTGAGCAGTGGCTCGCTGAACACTGTCATACTGGGACTTTAGTATCTCACTCATTTCTTGGCTGTCATCTGTGTATGTCCCATCCCGCCTAAGCAGGGGCCCAATACTGGATGTTGTTTTTCCTTTAGATTTGGCATAAGAGAAGAATATTTTGTTTTTTGTTTTTTAATTTCATTTATGGTTTTTAATTCTTCCTGTGATTCTTGTCTCCTGTAAGATTCCTTCAGCATAAGTTCGATAATTGCAATTTCATTGATTAGTGCCTACCTTCGTATTTCAGACATATTGGCCCCATTCAGCAGCTCTGTGACTAGCATTAACTTCTTTTACAACCACATCTATAAATATATTAAGCAACCATGGTGACGTTACGCATCCCTGTCTAAGGCCTACTTTTACAGGGAAATAATCCCACTCTCTCTAAAACACCCTAACCTGAGCTTCACTATCCTCATAAAAACTCTTTGCAGCAAATAGTACTTACCATCTATTTCATACATCTGCAACATCTGCCACATTGCTTCCCTATTCATGTTATTATATGCTTTCTCTAAATCCATAAAAACAACAAAAACTTCCCTACCTTTATATATTGATATATATGTAATAAGATCACAGTAAACAGGTGATTTCAGAATATGTAAAACAACCACTGTGAAATAATAGAGAAATTCCAAGCGCTTTCGTGACTACTCACATTATCAAAGAACAATAAAAGTAATGCATCAGAGGAAGGCATATAGAGGGTCTAGACCACACCTCACTATCACATCCCACGACAAAGCAACACCTGATGCGCGACTCATAAGAAAGAGAACACTGAAGCAGGCCTGCTGGCCCAACTAGACAGGTCCTTCACACAACCCACAAACAAATTATTCTACCCAAGAATTAAGAATTTTAAAATTTATTATTTGTCCAATGTATTATTGAATTCTTCCCAAATTCTATTAATTATAAATGGATCTAATTTATATAAACCAAAGGAAATATTCATATTATTGTCAAAACTTCTTTTTATGAAACAAGATTCAGTTATATTCTTGTCGACCATGGACTTGCTTGATACAACTTTCTCAACTTTTTGAAAACCAATTGGATGGTTAAAATCTCTCACATGAATAAATAGTTAAGAGGAAGATAGCTAGGAGGTAGATAGCTAGGAGGTAGATAGCTGTAATGGTACCGACAGTCGATAAACCTTACCACTGTAGTCTACACTGATCTGTAGTATTATTATATTCAAAGGGAAGCTCTTAAGGATCATAAGGATCATTGAGCGCCTCGAAAATTTGACTTTTGGAATGGGAGCACAGCTCTACTTCCGTGGATCAAGAGCCGTTCATTAGCATCGAAGCCCCCTTTTACCCCCCTTGAAGGGACAGTTGCCTGTAACCACAGTCAGCTGTTTATTGTTACCGTGGAACTATTGTTTTGCTAAATATTACTAGGTTAAGTACTTCCGAAAATTGAACTGAAGTTGAAAAATATTGCAAAAATATTTGATCTCCTATGACAGCTACAATTTTACTTGCTAAAATCTTGCTAAAATCTTTTAATTTCAGTTCAGCGAACAAGATAATTGCTAAGTAATTGTCCGTATTTGAATGAATTAATTAAATTTACTATCTTATATAGGAATTTTAAATTTCACATTCAGTGAATGTTTAAATAATTTTGAGCCGAGTGAGAGAAAAGTTTTGTGATACGTAAAAGCACAACTAAAAACTACTGTTGTGGACGGTGAAGAGGGAAGGTTGGAGTACCGGAAATAATAGTGGAAGATTTTGACGTTTCCTTGTGGAAGAGGTTTATTAAAGAGTCAGTACCTGTTTTGAGATGAAATGGATAACTACGCGAGACTTGATGTGTACAGAGAGAGCAATTT